ACAAGTCTGCTAATTCGACATCCGGATGAAGAGTTTGGCACGGTGCCTTTCAGCTTCGACTCTGATTCAATGCTTCAAAGAATATGCGATGTGCTTGTCTATCAATACTTTGAAGATCACATAATTGACGCCAGGCTCTTTCAATGCCAGAGTCTGACTCCGTGCCCCAATGTGATGATGACATATCGGAATCACAGGAATTTTCTAGAAATGCAGCTTTCAGAGTCATCATCATCAGACAACTGCACTTTGCCAACAGCACTCATACCCAGACACCAAACCAAGGCACACTGTTCATTGTTCAAATCAAAAACCATCGTGGCATTACTCTTGCGCGCGAAGCGCGCCTGTTTCCTTTTCCTTTTCCTGTTCCTTTTCCTCTTCCTTTTCCTTTTCTTTTTGCATTTTCCTCTTCCTTTTCCTTTTCTTCTTTCTCTTCTTTTCCTTTTGCGACACCCCCTTTTTGTCAAAAGGGATGTCTGCACATAGCTCTACCCCGCTTGAGCCCAACAATTCAATTAGGAAATCAATTGCAAACTCAATTGCAAACAGCAATATATTTTTGAATTTTCACTTTTTGAGGTTATTGAAAAAATCAATATATAGTATTTCAAATCAAGATCAATATCAATTCAAAGACTTCCACTATTATTGATTAGAATCAATAGCCGATGCTCCGGGTTTATTTGATTCATACTTTGATCATTACTATTCCTCGGAGCGCGGAGAAAACCTTTTAGAGGCTGATCTTGAGACCAGAGGCACAACTGGGCCACCCAGCAGGGCTGTCTTGGTGTCACGATGGTGCACCGAGGTGTTTTTTAGTTGAATATCAATTTGAAATTAATTTAGATCTTATTTGTGCACTTTTTTGAAACAAAAGTGCACAAAGCTGATGTGCCCTCAAATTTAATCACCAATAAGATTTGAAGTGCACTGAAGTGCACACAAGTGACACAGAAGTGCACTGAAGTGCAAAAAAGTGAAGTCAGTGCACAAAGCTGACATTTGCAAATTCACACAAAGTGCACAAAAGTGAAAAAATCCAACTAGTATTCAACAGTATTCATTCAGTATTCCCCCACCCCAAAAAGATTGTCCACAGTTCTAGTCACTAGATTTTGTTTCCTTTCTCTCACCCAAAAAATTTGCCCACAGTTTTAGTAATTAGACTTTTGTTTCCCCAACTCTCCTCACCAAACAATTTTGTCCACAGTTTTCGTCATTAGACTATTGTGTTTCCTTACTTTCCTTCACACCAGAAAAAGTGGCCATAGTTTTAGTCATTAGATTTTGTTTCTCAACTCTCCTCACCAAATTTTTTGTCCACAGCTTTAGTCATTAGAGTTTGTTTCCTCAACTCTCCTCACCAAATTTTCTTGTCCACAGTTTTAGTCATTAAATTTTATTTCCTTAACTTCCCTCACCAAGTTTTATTGCCCACAGCTTTAGTCATTAGAAATTGCTTCCTTAATTTCCCTCACCCCAAAAAGATTGTCCACAGTTCTAGTCATTAGATTTTGTTTCCTTTCTCTCACCAAAAAATTTGCCCACAGTTTTAGTAATTAGATTTTGTTTCCCCAACTCTCCTCACCAAACAATTTTGTCCACAGTTTTAGTCATTAGGTTGTGTTTCCTTACTTTCCTTCACACCAAAGAAGTGGCCACAGTTTTAGTCATTAGATTTTGTTTCCTCAACTCTCCTCACCAAAATTTTTTGTCCACAGGTTTAGTCATTAGATTTTGTTTCCTTACTGTCCTTCACCCAAAAAATATGTGGTTTCTTTTCCTCTTCCTTTTCCTTGTGCCCTTCCTTTTCCTCTTCCTTTTCTTTTTCCTTTTTTTCCTTTTCTCTTCCTCTTGCTTTTCCGCTTTCTTGTCCTTTTCCTTTTCCGTTTTTTTAAATACTTTTCCTCTTCCTTTTCCCTTTCCTTTGCCTCTTTCTCTTCCTTTTCCTTTTCCTTGTCCTGTTCCTCTTCCTTCTTCTTTCCCTCTTCCTTTTCCTCTTCCTTCCCCTTTCCAGGGAAATTAAGGAAGCAACTTCTAATGACTAAAGCTGTGGACAATCAAACTTGGTCAGGGAAGTTCAGAGAAAAGTCAATAACTAAAACTGTGGACAAAAAATTGGGTGAAAAAGGGAAACCAAATTTAATGCTTAAATAAAACTGTTGACAAACATTTTTGGTGAGGAGAGTTGAGGAAACAACATCTAATGATGAAAATTGTGGACAATTTTTTGGTGAGGAGAGTTGAGGAAACACAGTCTAATGACTAAAACTGTGACAAAAATTTTTTAATTCAGGAAATTAAGGTTTTACAAAAATGCAATCCCATCAGATTTGATCAAATTTGATCAGGTTACAAAATTTTGTAAAAACACAGAAAACCAGTAGAATAGATAATCAACAAACCAAAGCAAACCATTTTTTGTTTCCTGTTCCTCTTTCTCGCCCTTTTCCTTTTATATTTTTATTGTTTACCGTTCCTTTTCCTCTTCCTCTTCCTGTTCCTCTTCCTTTTCCTAACAAACACTCATAACAAAATGAGGATGACAATGAAACGCTGACTTTCAAACGCAATAAATTAAAGCATTTCTTGTCAGCTTTTTAATGAACATCACGTTCAGAAAAAAAAGTGACAAATACACTTTTTGCATTTTCTAATCATTTTAAATCACTTTCTTGCACCTTTAAAGCAAAAAAAGTGCACAAATAAGATTTTATAAGCTTCAAATAAGAATAAAGATGATTCAAATGTGATTCAATGTGATTTTAGTTCTCCTGTAAACAAGGGTGACCTGGAGAAGGGTACCTATCTCGACCCTCAACCTTGATATCTTTGATTTGGGGAAAATATCAGCTGTCACATGGAGGTGGCTTGCTGAGTGTGCTAGTTTGGATGGCTGCGCGCACCCTAGAAATGAGGATGTGGAAGGTGAGTTGGAAGCCGCATAGGAGCCCCCTTGAAGGGGGATGCCTTGGCTGCCGCGAGGAGAACTTGTTCACGATGTGGTTCTTGGTGAAGCCATCTGGATTTGAGCGCCGTGACAAGGGGTCAACAACATGAAGATCTCGAAAGAGCCTGAGGACTTCAACTTCCATTTCCTCATAGAACTTCTTCCCCTTCGCCTGCAACGCAGTCTCCAAAAGCTTGTGCCTAACGGCGTCCAGGCCAGGCTTCTGCTCAAAAGCCATACCAACCCAAAGGATGGCAGTGTCACTCCCTCGCTTTTCAAGTCCACAACAGCCGAACCGAATCTCGTGCAAACTCTCAGATCCGCTTTCCCCTCAATCCCGACATTGGTTTCTCAAGAGTGATCGCAACTTCTCCCCCATCTAAGGATCCAAGGCAGTCGCCGCCTTCTGGAACTCAGGTACTCGAGCCCCTCAGGCGTGAACTCTTCTCTCCGCTCTGCTGAAGAAGCCAATGGGCTACCAAGTTGCAGTGTTTAGCGCCCTCCAATCCAAGGCGTTCACCCATGAATCTCCGTCAAGAAGGAGCGCCATCCTTTGGGATCGCGGGCACCCGCGATGCGCCGCTTCCTCCATTCTTGTCCTCGTCGGTCATCGCGAGGTGGTCCGGCCTGTGACACACAGCAAAGCCAAAAGGTCAAAACCTTTAGCCTTAGGCTTTAGGATCACAGCCTGGATCCGGCAGTTGAAGAAGGCAGCAAACAAAGCGAGGCCTTTTCCGGACCTGAAAGCGAAAGCCTACATCGGTTCAAGACCTGATGGGCCCAACGGCAGCGGGACAAACCGGTGCGCGTTTCAACCATGTTGTATACATGTTGGACCCTGTTGGGCCAGTGTTTTGTGGGCCCTGGGCAATTGGCCAGTGGGGACTGTGCGAGTAAAAACCCGTCTCACACCCTCATCACTTTCCGATGTTTGCCAAGCTGGATTACAGAAACATGCAATCTTGCCAGGACCAGCCTGCACTGTGTCGGCAAGAGCGGGATTAAAAAGAGGCTTGGCGGCGGCCTAGCAGCCAGTTGTTCACGAGTTCCAAACATGCATGATAATTGCTATACAGTTGGATAATCATGACTTTGTTGATGAACAGCCTTGGCTTGGACTGACTCGTTGGCTTGCCTGACTGCATGGACCATGCCAATGCACAGCTTGCAGCTGGCGCCCAATCTTTACCAAACTGACAAACATCGACAAGCAACTCCCTTCTCTGCGCGAACATCACCGAGACTGTGTCGGCAAGCTCCCGACTCCTTGCAGCAACAGCAAGAAATGTAATCGTGGAATGACATGGAATGGGTTGCAGGCAGGCCGATTGGATCGTCGTTGAACTTTCAAAATGCCAGTCCTCTTGGCGCGGGTCTGAATAATGTATGTGGGATCCTGAGATACATTCTATCACATGGCAAGTCGAATCAAGTCGACAGGGTCGTCAAACCCATCTCACGTTGTCTAGGCTCCATATTCTCACTTGCGGGCCCTTCGGAGATGATTCGCCATTGGTCCTGGTTGCAATGCAGCAAGAAAATTGGCTTTCAGGGTGATGGGATAGCAGTAAAATGTCAACGAGGAGGTCTTGCAAGCTGCCCAGCTGCTTAGTTGGCCCCACGTGACATCCCAAGAACAAGGACAAATATGAACAAATCCGCTTCATTCGAGGCATGACCTCCACCGCCTTCGTGACTCAACAACTCAAAGTTTCAACGCTTGGCCAGCTTGACCCTATTGCCTGATCCCATTGCAACAAACATATTGTTCTAAACGGCGCATACTGCTATACATATCTGCAAACTGTCTGGGGACCACGCAGCTGGGCCGAACATGTCCAACTGCTTGGCCCCATCCTTCAAGCTCTCAATGAGCTGAAGGTTTTCAAACTATAACTCATGGAACCCGACCCCCCGCGCAAAACATTTACTGTCACTGTACAAAAGGAACCAAACCAAAAACTCAAACTTGAACAACCACCTGCCTTCCGGCTCAGGATTAGCACAATCTTGAGTGTTTTACATTTTGGTCCGGGATGTTCCACAATAACAATCAGATTCATTTTGCATCGATGAAAACCGTACATCTTAGCGTGTGCATTCTGGAGCTGGATCTATCAGAATCTATCAGGGATCGGTCCGGCTGCCAGAAATGCCTTTCTGGCACTTCTCTTCAAAAATGTTCCACCTGTGAGTGAACCTCCTCGTCCTAGTGTGAGCATGTTCGACTTCAATACCATTCACTGTAAAGGCACCGAGGTATTGGCCAACTTTTCTTTAGATTTAGTTCATGTTTTGTTTCGTGCTTTGTGCTATATTTGGATTGGTTCAGGTCCTCAATCCCAGTTCTTTCCTTCCGAGGTCTCGGAAAGTTTTCCGACAGCTGGTCGAAGAACTGAACTAACTTACCTTGGAAGCTCATTCTGAACATTCTAAACTAACCACAGCATATTTAGACAGCCGAAGACAACTGTTTGATCTCGCAGGAAGAAAAACTTTAGCACGAACCGCCAATGTGATTGGGGGCAGACAGGGGATCTCATTCTGCACCATATGGCGGCGTCCGAATCGGACACCACGAATCGGTCACCAGAACGCCGATTCACACCAGGAATCGGTCACCGACAAATAGGAATCGGTCACCAACAAAGTCGAATCGGTCACTGGTCGCCAGGAATCGATCGCTGATTCGGAGTTCCCTCACCAACCCGAAGCGGTCGCCGCAAGCAAGCCCGAACCAAACCAACCCGAATCGGTCACCAAGTGGACGCTGATTCGGAGTTCTCTCCCCAACAGGAATCGGTCGCCAGGACTCGGTGCAGATTTCGTGGCAGGCATTAAATTTGTAGATCTTGGAGCGCAGATTTCGTGGCAGGCACAGCACTTTGTGAACCTCGAAGTGCAGATGTCGCGGCAGGCGGAAGCAAGAAACTCGCAGGCCAAAACCCGAACCAAACCAACCCGAATCGGTCGCTGATTCGGAGTTCTCTCCCCGTTAACAGGAATCGGTCTCCAGGACTCGGTGCAGATTTCGTGGCAGGCGCAGTAATTTGTGGATCTTGGCTGAGTGCAGGTTTCGTGGCAGGCAGAGCACTTTGTGAGCCTCGAAGTGCAGATGTCGCGGCAGGCGGAAGCAAGAAACCCGGCGGCAAAAAACCGAACCAAACCAACCCGAATCGCGGGCGCCAACTGGTCGCTGATTCGGAGCTCTCTCACCAACCCGAAGCGGTCACCGCGGCAGGCGGAAGCAAAAAACCCGCTGGAGAAAAACCGAACCAAACCAACCCGAATCGGTCACGAGCTGGTCGCTGATTCCAAGTTCGCTCACCAACCCGAAGCGGTCACCGTGGGAGGCGGCAAAAAATCCGCTAGAACCAAACCGAAGAGTGGAAACAAGCAGGCGGGTAGCCCAAAATGGGTGCCCATTATTTGGTGACAGAATAGTTCCTATTCTTTCATAACACGGAGGATCCTTTTCCAGGACATGGTTGGAGTAAAAAGGGTCCAAACGTTCGTTGGGACAATTCTGCTCAAATCAAAGGCCGTAGCGACCTGAATCGGTCACCAACTGGTTGCTGATTCGGAGGCCTCCCCACCAACCCGAAACGGTCACCGTAGCAGGCGGAAGCAAGAAATCCCGCCGGAGAAAAACCGAACGAAACCAACCCGAATCAATCGGTCACCAGTCTGGTAGCTGATTCGGAGTTCTCCCCACCAACCCGAATTGGTCACCGCGGGCGGCGGAAGCCGGCGGAAGCAAGAAACCCGCTGGAGAGCCCTAAACAAAGCCCAAGCAAACCTTGGAGCAAGGAAGCCCTGACCCAAACCTGAAGAAACCCTAAAGAAGTTCACCCTAAACCAACCACAAACAAACCTTATGAAGAAGTGAACCCTAAACCAAGAACAAACCCCAAAGAAGCCAAGCCCTAAGCGAAGCCCAAACAAACCCGCCTAAAGAAGCCAAGCCCTAAACAAAGCCAAAGCAATGCCCCCTGAAGCCAACCCCAAGCAACCAAGCCCTGAACCAAACCCAATCAAACTCGCGTAAAGAAGCCAAGCCCTATCTGCGCCAGCACAGTTGTTTTTCACCAGGGATTGAAGCTTTTGAAATCCATATTTTTTTTGGCTTAGGTGTTCTCAAACCTTACCACCACTTTCGTGTATTTTTGTTTTTCCTTTGGAATGTAATTGCACCCTTTGGCATAATTGAAGCTTGGGGCGAACCCCTTCGTGTACTTTTGGTTTGTCCTTTGGAAGGGAGTTTTTAAAATTTGGAAGGATTGAAGCTGCGGCGAAACAAAGCCGTAAACCAAGCACAACAAAAGCCTAAAGAAGCCAAGCCCTAAACAAAGCCCAAATGAGCACTAAATAAGCGAAACCCTAAACCAAACCTGACGAAAACCTAAAGAAGTAGAACAACCCCTAAAGGAGTGAAGCCTGAAACCAAGCCTATAAACAACCCGCAAAGAAGTCAAGCCCTAAACCAACCTTAAACAAGCCAAAACAAGCCTACAGAAGCCAAGGCCAAACAACCCTCAAGAAGCCAAGCTCCCAAGCCAAACCCAATCAAACCCGAAGGAAGCCAAGCCCCAAACCAACCCCAAGGAAACCCTCCTAAAGAAGGCAGGCCCTAGAAACAACCCAAGACAAACCCTAAAGGAGTTAAGCCGTAGACAAAGCCCAAGCAAACCCTAAAGAAACGAAGCCCTAAACCAAACCCGAAGATACCCTAAAGAAGCCAAGCGCGAAACAAGCCCAAACAGACCCTAAAGAAACAAACCTGAAACCAAATACAAACAAACCCTAAAGAAGCCAAGCCCGAAACACCGCCCAAACAAACCCGCCTAAAGAAGCCAAGCCCTAAACACCGCCCAAAGGAACCCAAGCCCTAAACAAAGCCCAAGCAATCCCTAAAGAAGTGAAGGCCCTAAACCCGATTTTGCGAGCCTGCGCAGCCGAATCGCACTTCGAAGATCTCGAGAGGCAGGCGTGAATGGCAGCGAATTAGCCGGACCCGCCGATGGAACACCTCGATCAAGCAGATTTCGTGGCAGGCGCAGCACTTTGTGAGCCTCGCAGTGCACATTTCGCGGCAGGCACAGCACTTTGTGAACCTCCACGTGCAGATTTCGTGGCAGGCGCAGCACTTTGTGAACCTCGAAAGTGCAGATTTCGTGGCAGGCACAGCCTTTTATGAACCTTTGTGAACCTCCACGTGCAGATTTCGTTTCAGGCGCAGCACTTGGTGAACCTCGAAGGGCAGATTTCGTGACAGGCGAAGCGCTTTATGAACCTTGCGGTGCACATTTCGTGGCAGGCGCAGCACTCTGTGACCCTCGATGTGCAGATTTTGTGGCAGGCGCAGCACTTGGTGAACCTCCACGCGCAGAGTTCGTGGCAGGCACAGCACTTGGAGAATCTCGATGCGCAAAGTTCGTGGCAGGCGCAGCAGTTTGTGAACCTTGAAGTGCACATTTCGTGGCAGCCATTGTGAACCTCCACGTGCAGATTTCGTCGCAGGCGCAGCACTTTGTGAACCTCAAAGTGCAGATTTCCTAGCAGGCGCAGCACTTTGTGAACCTCGCAATGCACATTTCGCGGCAGGCACAGCACTTTGTGAACCTCCACGCGCAGATTTCGTGGCAGGCGCAGCACTTTGTGAACCTCCACGCGCAGATTTCGTGGCAGGAGCAGCACTTGGTGAACCTCGAAGGGCAGATTTTGTGACAGGCGCAAGCACTTTGCGAAATCTGGTGACTGATTCGTGGTCCCTGATTCGGACCGCTGGTGGCTGATTCGGATCGCTGGCTCTGATTCCGTGGTCGCTGATTCGTGGTGACCGATTCGGACCGCTGGTCGCTGATTCGGAGTTTTCTCCATATGGTGCAATGGAGACCGGGCCCCTCTTTTCGTGAGTGTAGGAGCGAGAGCCTTGACACAAAATTGGATTGACTCTATGAACGCAGCAATGTAACACAGTTGCTTTTGGCAGGCTGTCCCATTTCTTTTGTAGCGCAGGAGTTGCGCCATCTACCTAGACTGGAATCTCCATGGGCATGAAAACCTCATTCACTGAGGCGTGGAAAAGGAGAATGCTTCATCCACAGGAATGACGGGTCAACTCATTTCATGAATAGCTTTATATACTGTCCAATTCTATCACGGAGCGCTCCGCGATGCTTTTGACATCAGACGTGAGGTATCAGTTACATGGACGGCGCGGACTTCTTCTCCAAACGCTTTCAGTGGAAACTTTGGAAAGCAAGAAGGTGCGCTCCACAATCTTTGAACACTCTCGACTCTCTATCATTTTTTGTAGTTTTCTTTTGTTGAAACTCAATGTATCAACATCTGAAGGTTGCAGCCTTATGAATGGTTCACATACTGTAGAATCCCCAAAACCATCATCCATCATCAGTTCATCGCCTTTTTTAGAGGTCTCCCATACCTTCAATCTCAAACCTTGTTGACCTTGAGGAGACGGGGATTATTAATCCTACATGTGCATTACTGTCTTTTGTTTGGGAGAGCTCTTGTTCTGGCAGTCACTCTGACGTGTCCACCCTGTGAGGCGTAGTGCTTCTGAGAGAGAAATTACCGGAGGAATGTAACGTTGCGTTACCGTTGGTCCGACCAGGCGGATGGTCGGCTGAGGAGCGTGGAGCTTCCCAAAGAACTTGTCAAGCATAATCAATTCTCTGCTCTAGTACTTTTGATAACGTTAAATTACCCTGCTCCAGGATCAAAAACACTCCTTCTTCAAATCGACCAAGCGGTTTGTGAAGCGCTTGGCTTTTCCAAGAACCTGTGGTTCCGGACACCTTATTACATGCTTCTTGTCATGCTCAGCACTACTGTACACTGTACTGTATCTGTTTGAGATCTGGCACATGGCCAAGCCTGCATAGTAGATGGCACAACTCATGCTATAGTTCTCGCTGTTGAAAGATTCACGTTCACAAAAACCAATCGCAGTTTTTGAATTCTCAATTTTGTGGATTACTATGTACTGGGGGGTTGACCCCGTAAATGAATTAATTTCTTGCGCAATGTGGCTCAAGGTTGGACATCGGCGGCGCAGGGCAACCGCGCAAAGATGCGCAAAGCTTTCAACATGCGCCCCTGCAACTTGGCATGAGATGCTGGAAGTGAGCTCTTGCAAACGGATGCACAAGAGTACTTCATATCCGAACAATAAAGAATTTAACCAGGTATGACATATGGTTTTGCAGTCAAAAGTCTACAAATGAAGGAGGACATCTGGCAAGGCCCCAGGCTCTTTGGAGGGGATCTACTCTTTGGAAAAAGGGAGCCCTCTACAAAGGGTGAGTGACGCGCCAAAAGCACACCAATCAACAGCCATACGTGGAAAAACCCAGCGCTGCTGACTGGGCCACGCGAGAGGCAAAAGTCCAAAACCCGCCGACACCAACACTCCCGGGAAGGGGGAAGTGGGAGTTGGCAGGGTAAGAACTACTTTGGGCGAGGAACCCTAGTAGAAGGGAAAGCAGAATTCCTTAAAGGGAATGTCTACACAAAGGATTCAAAAGGGGAGAAAGAAAGAACTCGTAACTGGGAGAGTCGGCAAGCTCTGCTCTCCAGCGGAGAACTGCTTGCGCCCTGTGGCTACGGATGACAACGGACAGTTCTTGCAGGAGGTCTGCATGGAGGGCAGCAGCATCCTCCCCAGTTCGAGCTGGGAAAG